CCCGGCCCCCAGTCTCCTTCTTCCCTTCCAGAATGCTCTTCCCGCCTGAGCCGTCCAGCCCCAACCAGACCTTTGGCGTCACAAGAGGTGATGCCATTTCCTCTGCGGAGCGACCTCGCTCCAGGCGCCCGCGGGCACCTCTCCAGCTGCAGCTCGAGCTCCCGGCAGCGGGACCATAGGTGTCCCCACAGTCAACCCCCCCTTGCTCATGCGGAGCCCGCACACAGCAGGCTCTGCGGGGACCGAAAGAACAAACTGGTTCGTGGGCAACCACGTCCCCTCCCACAGCTGCCACACGGAGCTGGTGCCCGGAGTCCACACTCTGTGGCTGGGCCCACACACCCTCGCGGCTCCCGGGCTCCTCCAGGCGTGTCCACCATGGGCCGCGATGCCTCCTGACGCTCATCACTTCAAGCGCCTGCTGGACGCAGCTGTCAGGAGCCCAGACCGGGCACCGGCTGCAGGACGGGTGTCCCCGCACCCGGCAGAGACGGCCGTGTAACAGAGGCAGTATGACTGGCTTCCTCACTAACACTTCACTGTCTTTGATATTTGTTCCTTCCCTCATTCAACAAATGTTTATTGACTATTTATCGATAGAAGTCTCTGTTCAGAGCCACAGGGATACAGGCTGACAGAAAAGCTCCCGCCTTCCTGGATCTTACATTCTAGTCAACAGAGAGACAAACAAATAAATGTCACGTGACCTTAGCAGGGGCAGGGGCAAGGGCAATGACGACAAAGAAAGCAGAGGAAGGTCAAGGAGTGACAGGGGTGGGGGCTGGGGGTGGGGCGTCAGACGTAGGACAGGCCCCTAGCAGAGGGCTCTGAGCAGAGGCCTGGCTGTGTAAAGGAGCTGGCCAGGTCAGGGGAAGAGCACACGGGCAGAGCAGGCAGCGTGTGCAAAGGCCCTGAGGTAGAGAATGTGAGTGCAGGCAGCGTGTGCAAAGGCCCTGAGGTAGAGAATGTGAGTACAGAGCGAGCCACAGGGAGAGTGCACGAGGTGAGGTCTGAGACAGGCACTGGCCCCACAGAGACCAGAGCCCAGATCTGTGACTGCACAGTCGCTCTGGCTGCTGGCTGGAGAGGGTCTGTTGGGGGTTAGGAGGAAAAGACGGGAGACCCGCACCAGCTCCTGAAGTCCTGGCAGAGGGGACGAGTCCCTGGGAACAGCAGGGCTCAGGGACTGGACGTGGGGCAGGGGTAGAAGAGGACGCGCGCTCGACCCCCTCCGCCCGCCCCCGACCGCCCTGAGCGGCCCAGTGCATGTGGCACCGGTTCCCAAGACGAGGAGGATGGAAAAGAAGAGACTGGGGCTGGAAAGGGCCGGGGGCATCAAGTGCTCAGTTTCCGACATAAGTATGAAATGCCCAGCGAGCATCAGGCCACGGGCACGTGCCCACTGGGCACTGGGCAGGGAGCCTGGCCATCGAGGGACCCACGGACGGCCTTCCCGGAGACAGGGCTGGAGGAGCTCCTCGCTGAGGCCCCTCCCCACCGCAGCCCCTGAACTGCACCCCACCCCCACCCTACCACTCGAGGCCCATTCAAACGGCACCTCCCCCAGAACGTTCTGTGATCGCAACTGCACACACCCTCGGACATCTCCAAATTCCCCTCGCTTTATCGATGCCTCTGCTTTGGCCGTCTCCACACCGCTCTCCACCGCACTCCCTGCTTTCCTCCATCGGAGCCTGACCCGGGGAGGGTGGGGTGGCTTCGGTCCCCCCGAGCCCCCAGCTGTGCAGAACTCAGGCCCAGGTAGTCAGCAGGTCCTTCCCAGGTGCATTGTAGCAGGGCCTGCAACCGGGATGGGGCCTGGGCAGCCAGCATCCGGTGGGGTGAGGGCTTCCACAGAGAGCCAGGAGCCGTGCTGAGGCCCCAGCCTGCGCTCCGGGAGCCCCACACGTATGGCGGACCCGGGTCCTTCCTGACGCTGGTGAGCTTTCCTGCTCTTGCAGGTACACGGGAGCGGAGCACTGAAATCCAGGCTCCCAGAGAGTTCCGCCAGCCTGCATTCCGTGTCAGACTCCAACCCTTTTGTTTGTATTCTAGGCGAGCTGGGGCATATTTCACTGATCTGTGCCACTCTCCCTATGGTTCCCTCACCCTACGTCAGCCAACGGCCTCAGACGGGGGCCTGCAAAGTAGCATCTCTGTCACAGCTCCTCCCCTTCAGCAGACTGGCCTTCTGCCAACACTTCCGAATAAGAACGGACGTGATGCCAAGAAGTCCCTGTGCCCCTGATATCACCGGAGTGTGAATACACCCAGTCCTTACCTGGGAGGCTGGTTGCATTTGCGGAATCTCTCAAGAGATTATTTTCATCGTCTCCATTAGTAGTCGGTGCCTAAAACAGAGATCCCCCCTGTAAGCGCGTTTCTGCAGATTCCGCCATCACCTGGGACCAGCTCCGACCTCCTCCTCAGCCCTCTATGGTCCATCCATGGCATCCTTCGCTGTGTCTCGGGGACCTCTCCGCTCCTGACCTGAGCCCCTCGACGTCGGCACCGTCATTTCGTCATTTGTACCTATACCTCGCCAGCAAGAGGCAGGACTCCCTCCCGGCTGCCTCTCCACCAGGGCTTGGGGCGCGGCACCTCTCCCAAAGGAGAGGCTCCCGGACAGGCCACGGCAGCACTGTCCCCCACGTCCCGTGCCCAGGTGCGGGTGCCCCCATCTCCTGGGAAAACCGCGGGCCAGAATCCTGGACCCCCCACTTAGCAGCTCTGTGACCTTGGACAGACCCTGGAGCCCACGTGGGTATCTGTTTTCCTCCCTCGCAGGCACCACCGCCTTAGCTCTGAACCCCGGCTAACGACAGGATCAAACGAGACTGCGGGTACAGGGCTCAGCGCCGGGCGCATCTGGGCTGGCCCTCAGCCAGCGCCCACCCCGCACCTGGCCACACGGCACGGGCTGTACCCGGAGCCTCTTCCGCCGGCGCCTGGGAAGCCCTGCATCGGCCACGTGTGAGGTGCGAGGCCGGGGCTCCCTCCCTGGGCTGCTGGCTCCAGGAGGGGCTGAGCCTCCCAGTTTAGCTGGCCCTCAGGGGATTAAGGACCACAGGACAGGCAGCTGGGTGGGAAATTGGATTACCCAGAGATTTGTTAAGCAGCTTCAGAGGTAATCCTCTTTCCAGAAAATTATGACACCGGGAGCCCTCCGAGCCCTCCAAGGAAAGGCTCAGATGCACCGAATTTGATTCCGAGCTCAGCGGTGTCTCTCAGATCAGAGACGAGACCTCGGCCACGAGGCACAGGGCGTCCTTCGAGCCAGGCCGGCCAACTCCACAGACCACCGTGGCCGCGACTGGCCTGGGACAAACGAACTGCTCTGACCCCGTGGTACAGAGGCTCGAAGAGAGCACGTGACTGGCCCGTGGCCACATTTCCAGTAAGTGGCAGGGCTGGGATCTGAACCAAGTTCCGTCCGGTGCCAGCCCACAATCCCCAGCCCAGGTGCTGCTGTCCTGGCCACTCACCTGCGTGGAGGGGGGCGCCTCTGTCTTGGCTGGGGGGCTCCTGGGTTCTGTGGGCGGAAGAGTCACAATTAATGACGGACAGACCCCGAACTCTCCCAGAGTAAGTGCGTTGCCATGTTGGCGAAAAGAACGTTACGCTAGAATAAGCTGGTAGCCAGCCCTAGACAATTAGTTATGTAAGTGTATATATAAATATTACGTACAAAACCATATATAAATATATAATTAAATTCGTTACATAAATTAAATACTTATAGAAGTTAGGAGATAGCCATGATTTGCAGCAGTCAAGCCAAGAGGCTGGATGAAAGCGCAGTCGGTTAAGCATCAAACCAGCGGGTCGCGATCTACGCCCAGGTCGTGAAGTTCAAGCCCTGCGCGTCGGATAAGGCTGATGGCTGCGGGCCTGGGCCTGTTTCGATTCTGTATCTCCCTCTCTCTCTGCCCCTCCCGTTCATGCTCTGTCTCTCTCTCTGTCCCAATAAATAAAAAAAAATTAAAAAAAAAAAAAGGCAAAAATGTTGAGAATATAGTTATACGAAAAATACAAGACAAGGGAGGCTCATACGGTCTGATGTAAAGTCCCTAAAGAAAGAGATTTAGTCCACGGTCATACCACCCTGAGCACGCCCGATCTCATCTGATCTCGGAAGCTAAGCAGGGTTGGGCCTAGTTAGTACGTGGATGGGAAGAAAGAGATTTATATCACTGTTTATTATACATTATATACATACATATATATTTACACACAGGGAGCAAACAGAACAAGTCACTGGATGGAAGCACTATTGACATTAA